GAGGGTCAATGGACGCCGCTATCACGCGTTGTTGGACTCGGGGAGTTCCGTGAGCCTGCTGAGGAGTCAGCTCCTCCCACCTCGACCGGAAACCCATGCCATACTGCCTCTAACGTGCGTCCACGGAGAAACCCGAGAGGTGAAGGCCCGCGACGTTCAGCTCCAGGCCAGAGGGAAGACCTGGATGGTCGAGGTGGGTTTAGTAAAAAACCTACCTGTGCCAGTACTCCTCGGCAGGAATTTCCCCGGGTTCGCAGGCCTGCTCACCGCCGCCACCCACCGACCCGTCAGCCCTGGAGGGAGCCGCCCAACCCCGTCGCAGGAGGAGGCTTCATCCAACCCGGCTGTCACCCTAGTGTCGGATAGCGGGAGAGATGGTGAGTCCGCCCCTCCCTCTGCTAACCTCTTCTATGATGTGTTCCAGCGAGTTACACGAGGGGGGTCCTTCAGCCGCGAGCAGCACGAAGATGACCGGCTGAAGCACTGTTGGGCTCAGGTGCGCGTGGCTGAGGGACAGGAACTCCAACCCGGGCCCCATCCTCTCCCGCACTTCATCGTGAAGGATGGTCTGCTCTACTGCGTCGCCGAACGATGGGGGGAGATTAAGGAGCTACTCGTCGTCCCCCGGTCGAAGACGGAGACGGTGTTGGAGCTTGCGCACTCCCACCCAATGGCCTGGGAGCAGGAAACACGACCCAGCGGATCCGAGACCGCTTCCATTGGCCGGGGATTGACGGCGAGGTAAAAGCGTTCTGCAATTCATGTCCTACATGCCAGAAGACATCACCGCGAACGCCTCCCCCCAGTCCACTGATTCCACTCCCCATCATAGGGGTGCCCTTTGAGAGGATTGGGATGGACTTAGTGGGGCCATTGCCGAAGTCTGCCCGTGGCCATGAGCACATCCTGGTCATCGTGGACTACGCCACCCGGTATCCGGAAGCCGTGCCCCTACGCAAAGCCACCGCGAAGAACATCGCGCACGAGCTGTTCCTGCTGTTCAGCCGGGTGGGCATCCCCAGCCAGATCCTGACTGATCAGGGAACCCCCTTCATGTCCTGGCTGATGGCTGACCTCTGCCGGCTGCTAAAGGTCGACCAGCTCCGCACCTCGGTCTACCACCCCCAGACAGATGGCCTGGTCGAGAGATTCAATCAGACCCTTAAGAGAATGTTAAAAAAGGTGGCCGCTGAAGACAGACGCGACTGGGACCGAATGATCCCCTATGTCCTCTTCGGCATCCGGGAGGTACCCCAAGCCTCCACCGGGTTTACCCCATTTGAGTTGTTGTTCGGCCGTCAACCAAGGGGCCTCCTAGACGTCGCCCGAGATGCGTGGGAGCAGCAGCCGGTAGCGCTCCGCTCTGTGGTCGAACACGTGACCCAGATGCGTCAGAACATCGAGCGGGTCATGCCGTTAATCCGGGAACACCTGGTCCAGGCGCAGCAAGCCCAACAACGGCACTTTAATCGGGCAGCCCAGCCTCGGGAGTTCCAGCCGGGGGACCGAGTGATGGTCCTGGTCCCCACCTCCGCCTGCAAGTTTTTGGCCAAGTGGCAGGGGCCATACACCATCACAGAAAAAGTCGGCGACGTCAATTATAAAGTACGGCAACCAGGGAAAAGACAACCGGAGAAACTGTACCACATAAACCTCCTGAAAAAGTGGGTGGGGACCAGAGATCAACTGGCCGCACTCGCCTCCTATTCCCCGGTGGTAGTGAACTCCAGTGAAGACCTCTCGGCTGCCCAGAAGAAGGAGCTGCAGCACCTGGTCAGTCAGTTCCAGGATGTGTTCTCCGATCAGCCAGGGCAGACCAACGTTGTCGAGCACCACATTAGGACCCAACCAAGAGTCATCATCCGGCAACGGCCCTACAGAGTACCGGAAGCCCGTCGGCAGGCTATAGAGGAGGAAATCCAACAAATGCTGAAGTTGGGGATATTAGAGCCATCCCGGAGCCCGTGGTCCAGCCCCATCGTGATGGTCCCTAAACCCGACGGCACCCTCCGCTTCTGCAACGATTTCCGAAGACTGAACGAAGTCTCGGAATTCGACAACTACCCCATGCCCCGAGTGGATGAGCTCCTGGATCGTATAGGGAGGGCACGGTACATTTCCACCCTAGACCTCACCAAAGGCTACTTGCAGGTGCCAGTGGCCGCAGAAGACAGGCCCAAGACTGCCTTCTCGACACCATCAGGCCACTGGCAGTACCGACGTCTCCCCTTCGGCCTGCATGGAGCCCCGCCCACATTCCAGCGCATGATGGATATACTGCTTCGCCCACACCAGACCTACGCCGCCGCATACCTGGATGATGTGGTTATCCACTCGGAGGCGTGGGACGACCATCTGGACCGGCTGCGGAGGGTGCTCACGGAGCTCCGGGAAGCCGGACTCACCGTCAACCCCCGCAAATGCCACCTTGCCCAAGCTGATGCGTCATACCTGGGATTCCGGGTGGGGCGCGGCGTGATCCGCCCACAGGATAAAAAGATTGAAGCCATCCAGCAAGCCCCTCGCCCCACCACAAAGACCCAGGTACGAGCCTTCCTGGGGTTGGCGGGGTATTATCGATGCTTTATCCCCAACTTCTCCTCTATCGCCGCCCCCCTGACAAACCTGACCAGGAAGGGGCAGCCGGAGAAGATCGTATGGACTCCGGAACTGGAGGGGACGTTTCAGAGCATAAAGCAGGCGCTCACGATGGAACCGGTACTCCGAGCGCCTGACTTTACTGCCCCTTCCTGCTACAGACTGACGCCTCCAACACAGGGTTGGGAGCCGTCCTGTCCCAACTGCAGGAAGGTGAGGAACACCCTGTGATCTTCATCAGCAGGAAGCTGAACCCGGCCGAGACCCGGTATGCGGCCGTTGAGAAGGAGGCCCTGGCCGTCAAGTGGGCAGTCCTGGAGCTGAAATACTATCTCCTGGGCCGGCGGTTCACCCTCCTGACAGACCACGCCCCACTCCAATGGATGGCCAGAGCGAAAGACACCAACACTCGGGTGACCCGCTGGTTCCTCGCGCTCCAGGACTTCCAATTTGAAGTCCGTCATCGGGCTGGGGCCGACAACGGCAACGCCGATGGCCTATCCCGGATCTGGGCCGGCTACGCAGGTTTGTCGGGGGTCACTCCCCACCCACCCTTGATACCCAATCTTTCTGTGATACATTTCAGGACCCACCAGGACAACGTTTGGGGGGGGGGGGAGTGTGACGGGAGTCCATTCCAATCAGCGCGGTCCTGGCATAAAATGAAAACACCTGGCGCCCGTCGTCACAGGGAGATCGGGAGCAGCCGCGCATCATTAGCGCGGCAGCATAAGAGAGAGAGCAGAGGAAGCCAGGGTGAGCAGAACCTCCGAAGAGTGCAGCGGCTAACTCCTCTCTCTCCCTCTCTCTACCTCTAGACAGCCCGTGAAGACCAGACGACGGCACCGTCCCCCACCGCACCGTTTCATCTGGGCACCGAGCACGAGAGCACACCTGGGACTGGGAAGAGCACCACGAAGAAAGAGGACACGAGCACCGCGCACTTAAAGACTGCACTACCCACGAGCATTCCATTCATCACTTTTAATAAATCCA